TTTCATCCACTCTCCTGGTATTCCCTACTTGGATGAATTGCTTCAAGATGTGAGCTCTCTCTCTCTCTCTCTCTCTCTCTCATATTTTTGCATCTTTGCATCTAAACGAGGAAGGTCCTTTCTCCCTCTCATGTAACTTTCTTCCCTTTGAGGGAGGAAGTCTCCCTCTCATTTCATTTACATCCCTAAAGCCAAAAGTGGAAGGTCTTCCCTCTGTCTCTTTTTTGGGTAATTCAGTGGTGAAGACATGCCCCTACCCATTTTTTAAAATAGTTTAGGAGTTATCTTTTTGAAAATGTTAATGGGATGGTGTTATTAAGAATGAAAACCATAACCTGGTGACTAGGATGTAGGGTGCTACCACCCCGGACCATTTCCCCTCCTCCTCTCTCATGTAACTGATATCCTTTCAGCCAAAGGTGGAAGGTTCCTTTGACTTTGCATTTGTGGACGCTGATAAGGAGAACTACTTGAATTACCATGAGAGACTACTGAGGCTTGTGAAGGTTGGAGGACTCATTATGTATGATAACACTCTGTGGGGTGGTAGCCTTGCCATGGATGAGTCCTCCCTCTCAGAGCACATGAAGAAGACGAGACCCAATCTGCTCAAGCTCCAAGAAACACTAGCCATCGATTCGCGTGTCGAGATCTCGCAGATCTTCATAGCTGATGGTGTCACACTTTGCCGAAGGCTATATTGACCTTTTTGACATGATTGATTTCCATTGGTTTCTCAGTAATTTAGGGTTTTATGCATAACATAGTACCTTAATATGTAGGGGTTGCAATGTTAACTCGCCTGATCGGCTCCCCCCTAAACAACCAAATATGGCACGGGGATGAGGCTAGGCCTGAGCTTGACCCATGGCTGGTACGGCACGGGCTCGGGCCATGTTTGGCTCGATCCAGACTTGACCCTTTGGTAGTCATGTACTAAGCTGCAAATGCGATAAACATAAACAAATACCATTGATATTATGAATAAATTTAGGTGCAGGGTTGGTATTCTCGGCTATTATGGTCAATTTTTTTTTTATCTTGGACACTTAAATGTTATTTTTAATTTCCAGGTCAATGGCTAAGTCAACAAAAAGGATTATAATTAATTAGTATATGTTCATATAATCCATGGGTGGGAATGCATTTGTATACTCCAGGTCTAAAGTATAAAAGGATGAAGGTTCTATACGACTTAGTTTTTATAAAAACAACCTCAAATCCTCGTTTGGAAAGCACCTTCGGTAACGAAAATCTCTATGATGGATCTATACCAATAATAAAATTTCAAACTCAAAAAAATGGTACATATCTTGTGGATCTATGAAGACTAAATTTTAGGTTGAACTGGACGGTCTAAATAATAGGTTACAATGTACACAATTTTTAGAGCTTAAAATCTTAATTTTTTTCACAACTAATATGTTCAAGCTGAGATTTTGATGTAAAGGTATTCCAATGTTTGAATTGTAATTTTTGTTGAATTATGAGATGAGATTTTACTTATTTTGATAGGGCTGCGGCCCTGAACCATTTTTCAGAATGGAAACCACCAGGTGATTTATTTCATGGTAATGGGGATGTCAGTCCTCCACGAGGATAAAAATATTGGTAGAAATTGCTCCATGGTGGCACACCTTTCATTAGTAAACATGGTCTTATAATATACAATTCCTTATATTATATAGTTTTATATTGTTTACTAAAATAGGTTTTGTAAGGGAAATTGGTGTAATTATTCATCCTTGCTAAAATTTTGCTTTGAGTGGTTTTAGGACCCAAAATTTTGGTGTTTTGACCCCACTAGATCAGAACCAAGCTAGAAAAAAGAGATAAGAAAGTATCAATGTGAGCCATAAAAAAAAATAACATGATATAGGATTTCACATAGATCTTGGTGTTTAGGTATCTCAAAATCAATTTTTTTTCTTGAAAATACTCATATGGTTTCTACAGCAGATCCCCAAATTTCAAATAGAAATCCTCCCAGATAAATTATTTTCCTGAAGCAGTAAATGTAAATTTTGCTCCAAAAAGAGAGGTTTTAAAATTGGAAATTTGAGGTAAGTTGTAAGCATTTTGATTTTCAAGATGAGGAATTATATTACAAAGTGCTAAATTACTAAACGCATAAAGCCTCTCAATTCTATAGCCTTTCTTATTGTGTAGGGGGAATTTATCAAAATATTTATAAGAGATAGAACAATTTAACATAGGGTGTGTGTTTTCCAACTTTGCATAAGGTTGCAACCTTAAACAATCAAATTTAGGTGCACCTTCAAACTTTTATCATAAGATGTAATTTTTTATATAAAAAATTCTTACACACTGAATACCACTAATTGTTAGCATTTTTCTTTTAAAAGAAGGGTGTGGTTTGTATAAGGTTGAAACCTAAACAATCTAAGTAAGGCACACCTTCAAATAATATCAAAAGATGTTGTTTCAGTTCTAGAAATCTTGGTGATGTCCTCAAAATTCATTTTTATCTCTAATTATAAATTTTAAAGCTTCAAAATTAGTGTATATAGAGTATATTTGAATACTAGAAAATTAACGTTCTAGAAATTGTATTACATCATGTAATGCTTTATTTCCAAGACTTGAGATCCAGTTTTTCTATGTCCATGCATCTTGAGGTAGAGATGACAACTTGAGGATTTTTAGGCATCAAAACAACCTCTTCTAATGATTTTTCGAGGTGCGTCTTAATTTGATTGTTTAGGGCTTGAGCCTTACATAAACTTTCCCTTAAAAGAATTCTGGATTTTATTTCAAAATAATGTGGATTCGTACTGTAACATTTCTAACATTTATTTTTATATAGAGAGATGCAGTAGTTTTTTAGTCCCAAATTGGAAAATAGAAAAGAAAAACCGATGTGTTTAGAGCAAAAACACTTGTATATAGTATAGACTAATGCATAGGTGCTAGTGTGCTCAAGGTCTGTTTTGGTGCAATTGTACACACTTTTTACACTTACTATAAATATGCTAGAAAATATTTTGGCCATTTGTTTTTAGGTATTTCAAGGACAGATTTACCACATACTTTGCGGTTTGCACAAATTGAATTAAATCAGTAAAGGACAAATATTGTATTGTAAAATGATATTTTGGCTCTAAATTTTTCAGTTTGACGATTATTCCCTAATTATAGTCCTCATGGCCACAATAAATCATCACCCTTGGGGGTCCTTATTGTGCAATTAGCTGATTGAATGGTGATGGAGAGAGAAAGGAATTGTGTAACACATCACATGACAATGATGCTTGGTCTCGCTCCCTTTTCAACCACCTTCTGACAGGCATTTGGATGGTGATGACCCTTATGATCTCTAACTTCAAGTGGCCACAAGGGTCACACAAATTTTCACCAATTTATAACCGGAAAAAGATTATACAGCCTAACTCCACCCCTTGATTAGGTGGTCTAATCTCCCAAAAGTAAATATTTTTTCTGATCTAAAATTTTATGATATTATTTGACCCACCTTATGAACACTAGAAAGAAATGAAAAACAAAAAACTAATTTTCATCTCGTCAAAGTTTAGAGTTATCCTCCGTTAAAAGGATGGTACAAAGGTTGTCTTCAGGAAAATCGGGAGGACGAACTAGTAAATCATGCTCCCATGGGAGCATACTATACTCTTACTCTATCAGGCACAAAACTCATTTAGGGAATTTGTTTTTCTTTCTAAATATTTGGGAACCATCTAAGAATCACTAGATGATCATTTTTAAAACAAAAAGCATCAATTTTAACTTATGTAACCCTTAGCTCTCGACATCAAAAAATTGAATAGTCTCTGTTCAATCTTGAGATTATATTTTTTTCAAGTGCGTAAAGAGTGTCCCTAGGATTTATTTATTTATTTATTGAGGCTAGTCTATCAGTTGAAGTGGTTATATCCCTAAAACTTGGGGT